CAGGAACGACCACATGAATCCCAAATCAAACATTTCCAGAAATGAACATGTTCCATTCAAACATTCCCAGAATGACCACATGAACCCTAAACCAAATCAAACATTCCTAGGAATGAACAGATTTATCCCAAATCCATCCAAACATTCCCAGAATGACCACATGAATCCCAAACCCAAACATTTCCAGAAATGAATGTGTTGGCTCCCAATCCATCCAAACATTCCCAGGTTTATCCCTAAACTTTCCTAGGAACGACCACATGAATCCCAATTCATTCAAGTATTCCCAGGAATGAACAGATTTATCCCAAACCCAATCCAACATTCCCAGGAATGACCACATGAATCCCGAACCAAATCAAACATTCCCAAACCAAATCCAACATTCCCAGGGACAACCACATTAATCCCAAATCCATTCAAACACTACCAGGAATGACCACATGAATCCCAAACCCAAACATTTCCAGAAATGAATGTGTTTGCTCCCAATCCATGCAAACTTTCTCAGATTTATCCTCAAACCCAAACATTCCTAGGAATGATCACATGAATCCCAAACCTCCTCAAATATTTCCAGAAATGAACATGTTTCATTCAAACATTCCCAGGAACGACCACATGAATCCCAAATCCATTCAAACATTCCTAGAAATGACCACATGAATCCCAAACCCAAACATGTCCAGAAATGAATGTGTTTACTCCCAACCCATCCAAACATTCCCAGATTTATCCCTAATCTTTCCCAGGAACAACCACATGAATCCCAAACGAAATCAAACATTCCCATGAATGAACATGTTTACCCCAAATCCATTCAAAACATTCCCAGGAATGACCACATGAATCCCAAACCCAAACATTTCCAGAAATGAATGTGTTTACTCCCAATCCATTCAAACTTTCTCAGATTTATCCCCAAACCCAAACATTCCTAGGAATGATCACATGAATCCCAAACCTACTCAAATATTTCCAGAAATGAACATGTTTCATTCAAACATTCCTAGGAATGAACAGATTTATCCCAAATCCATCCAAACATTCCCAGGAACGACC